AATCCTACGACACGCCAAATTTAGCAAAGCACTTCAATAATTTACGTATATTCGAACCCCTTTGCGCCTCTGTAAATTCTGACATTTCTTCTCTCTCCGCATCTCAGAAGAAGGATACAACAAAAATCATTTGAATTCTTAAAAGAGAGCCTTTAAATACCTTTCGTCTCTCCACCTTCTCGTTTACAATTATTAGGGATTTGTACATTATTTTTTCTGTAATATACTCTCTTAGGGATTTACTTCTAAAACATGTCTTACGCCTATCTCTTCAAGTATATCATCATCGGCGATACCGGTAACTTTTTCCTCTTCCATTTTCCGTTTTAAATTGCCTGTTTCGGTTATGCTTGCTTTTATATCTGACGATTTTGATGTATTTGTTTAACATTTGATTTGGATCTGATCAATAGGTTCCCGTTGATTCTGAATTTCTGATTGAACCTAATTTGGCGTTTCATAAATTTTAATTATCTCGATCTGGGATAGGAACTTCAATATATGGAAATTCATTTATGTTGCTATGCGAATGTGGTCTTTATATTGTCTTGAGCTTCAGAAATGTGTGTTTTGATTTCGTGTCGTGTCATGTTGCACTTCATGTCTAAATTGATGTTGATAATCTATTCGTGATCGCTGCAAACTGACATCTAGAAAAAAGAGAGGATGTTATCAGCCCAAGCTATTTGATCTAGGTCATTTGAATGTTTTTCATCATGAGATCAAGCTAAACTAGATTTTCAGCATTTGTGGCTTTATTGTATCATTCACTTAGTAGGTTTTGAAAGTCATTATCTTTTTGTGAAGTCGTAATGCTTAGAAATGGCGTTCACGGAATTCTTCTTTGGTGGCTTAGTTTGCAAATTCTTAACGATTAAAATAGCTAGCCTTCTTTACCATAAATAGAGAGGAAGGAACCTTTTTTGAAGAGGAAGGAATTTGACTGCATGAGAATTTGAAAAATGTGTAGTTTATGCTCTAGATTACGTGTTCATGTTGGCAGAAGCGTTCCTTTTAGAGGTTAATTGTACGTGGCTAATGGTTAATATGATTATTCAAGAGTGTTTTCAGCATATTTATTCAAAAAACTGCAGTTGTTTACGTATCTTCATGATTTTCCATGTGTTCAGTTCTGTGTGTGCACATTCTCAGAACTCCTTGTTTTTTATGTGCTGATACCAGTGCCTTTTCCCCCAGAATATCTTACAGTTTCATTAGATTTTCATTGATAAGAGTATTAATTCTTTTATGCAGGAGTTGGAAAATCATGTCTTCTTTTGCAATTTACGGACAAACGGTTTCAACCGGTCCATGACTTGACCATTGGGGTTGAATTTGGGGCTAGAATGATCACAATAGACAACAAGCCCATAAAACTTCAGATCTGGGACACGGTTAGTCCATGGTTCAGCTTGTTGTTGTGGTTTCAAGGAGCTTCAGATTATCTGTCCAAATGTTTAAAATTCTGTCTTTGGTGGTAGAATAATTCTTCTGGTGTTCTGCTTATTCTTTTCTCATGCTAGTGCGAATGACTAAGAGCATTATCTAATGAGTGTTCTCCGTCACAGGCTGGTCAGGAATCATTCAGATCTATCACGAGGTCATACTACAGAGGTGCTGCTGGGGCACTACTTGTTTATGATATTACAAGGTATTTGTGCAGTGTCTTTGGCATTTCCATACCCGGAAGAAACTCGAGGTTATGTGTCTCGTAGTATAAACAATTGTACTTCTTGATCTGTCTTTTAAGCATTGATCAAAGTTCCAGAAATATTTATTTACAAATTCTTGTTACCTAGGATGCATTCAAAGTGCAGAGTTCACTGTATTGTGAATATATTTTAATCTTTAATATTAATTTCTCATAGAACATCGGCTGTTTTAACTAATGAAATGCAGAATATTTTGATTTAATCTTTTCACTTCATTACTTGTACCCTATCTAACGGTGTTCCGTTCCTGATGGCTATCTTGTCTATGTCTAAGAGAGTAGTAGAACAAGCTTCTAAAACTAACTACAAGCGCTGGATTATTTTTGTTCTTATTCTTTTTGTCTTCACCGGTACGAAACTTAATATGTGACTAAAGTGCATTTATCAAAAAAATATGTAAGTGTGGGTTCTTTGATTTAGTGATGATTTTGCTTTTCCCCATTTTAAAACATATTAGGAGGGAAACATTTAATCACCTTGCTAGTTGGCTGGAAGATGCAAGGCAGCATGCCAATGCAAACATGACCATAATGCTGATAGGAAACAAGTGTGATTTGGCTCACAGAAGAGCTGTAAGTACAGAGGAGGGTGAGCAATTTGCCAAAGAAAATGGATTGATATTTATGGAGGCCTCTGCCAAAACAGCTCAGAATGTTGAAGAGGTAAGAGATTCCCTCACCTGCTACCTCTCTTATCTTTATTATCCATCCATGGACATCACTCTGTAATTAAACTTAGAGATTAGTTGCCTATCTGATTTCTGTTTTCGCTCTTTTCCAGGCTTTTATCAGAACAGCCTCAACAATTTATAAGAAAATACAGGATGGAGTGTTTGATGTATCAAATGAGGTATGCCATACCCTGACCATTTATATATATATATTCTGCTAGTGTGGTGAATTTTCGTTGAGTTCTATTAATATGAAAAGGAGATTGGCTATGGAAGACCTGATTGGCATCCCATGAAGTAACCAACATTATGCGTTTTCTTCTGAACCTGTAATCAATGTTGTTTGCTTGTTTAAAGAGTTAAAAGGAAGAAGTTGGAGAATATCCTCTCCCTTGAAATAATTTAGGCGTTTGGATACCTATGGAAATTTTTTGGGAAAAAATTGTGCAAAAAACAGACATGTTTATAATAATTATAGGTCTTTTGAGTGTTTTGTCAGTGGAATGAGAACTTTACTTTTGAAAATGCCAAAACCACTTCTTAAAAAATGATTTTTAGAAGAAAGTATTTGTCCAGTACTTCTTGAAAAAACTTAAACCATGTATGTTGAAAGTTATTCTGCAAGATTTCTAATATTATCCAAAGATGATTGCCACCAAAGGAGCTTCATCCCCTAAATAATCTGGTCAAATGACCAAGTCCAACATCCTGCACGAGAGAAAAGACCATTAGGAGAACACCCTTTTCAGGCTCATCTCTTGTGTAGTTTAGTTGGGCATATGTAGCTATGTTATTTGCAGATAACTGCTGTAATAGCTTCTGAAATGCCATTTTCCCCGCTGAAAAGTCTTTTAAGTGCAAAATGTAACATCCAACTCAGAGTAGCTGTTTTAGTAGCTCCTAATTGGATTAGTCTTTTTTTTTCTTCTGATTTTTAAAAATGGGTTCTTTTATTCATCTGACATTGATCTGTAAATGCAATTTTTATGTGGAGAATTGAGGGTGAATTTGGTGCCTATTGAGAGGTAAATTTCCTACAACTCCAGGATATGGAACATGCTATCTTAGGACGCGAAAGGAAGTTAAATTTGAAAAAATTAAAGACTTGGTATTTTTTCGACCATCCTAAGAAGTACCAATCCACCAGTTTTACTAGATCTTACCGCAATCTGTGGACCCGGTCTAGCATATTGTTAGCATAGTTCCTTGTTTAGTGGAGTATCAGTTATGTTGAGTACTGATAAAGATGAGTGTCCTGATTAATGTTATGAGGAGCAAGAATGCTGAATGTCCTAAAAGTTCAGTAAATATTTATGTATCTCGGTGATAATTGATTTGCACCATGTGCGTAATAGTTTCCAAAACTAAGGCTTTCCATTTTTCTTTTGCAGTCTTATGGAATAAAAGTTGGATACGGAGGCATTCCCGGGCCTTCGGGTGGAAGAGATGGAGCTGCTTCTCAAGGAGGGGGTTGTTGTAGTTAAAAATGGACATTTATTATTCTAACTTATCATGTGTTCCTACGGTTGTTTATTTGTAGTTTGAGATTCTTAATATTGTGTGTTTTCTTCAGTCAGTTTGTTTTAAAAATGGGTATATGTGCAGAAATAAGTAAATTCCGTACATAAAGACACTGTATTTTTTATTTTTGCATTTTCTGTGTAATATTTAGTGGGCGTTTGGACATAACAATCGTAAAATTTCGGGAAAAAGTAAAAAAAAATTTCAAGTGAAAATGGTATTTGAAAATTAGAGTTGTGTTTGAACATGAATACAATTTTGGGTTGTTTTATGAATTTTTTTGTGACTGATTTGAAGTGAATTTTGAAAAATAATTTTTTGGAGTTTTTAAAATTTTTGAAAAATTTTAAAAGTGAAAATTGAAAATGTTATGTCAAATATTGATTTCGAAAAATAGTGAAAATTTTCGAAAAAAAAGTGAATTTGTTTTTTTATGGCTAAACGGGCCCTTAACATTTTCAAATGTGAATATGGTTTCAGATCATGTGAGCTTGTGTGAACGAAAAAAGGTTCAAATCCTCCCCTGCTCCTCTCCTTTTATGTGCCCTTGCCTTATTTGCGCACCACAGTTTGGCCAGATAGACGTAGATGGGCACGCCTATCTCGTGGAAAGGGTATGAAACTGAGGTGTTCCAACAGCCAAATAAATTTACCTACCCTCAGTATTTACCGCAAACAATTATTAGCAAAATTGAACAAAGTTTCATTTATTGGTTCTCAACTTCTCATAGGTCTCTTTTCCTTTTTGTGTTTTTGTTTTGTTAAATCGAACGGTCACCTGCCCTTGGGTGCTGGGTTTAACAGTTTGAAACCCAATGATAAAGGAACTAGGGAACTTACACAGAATGTCTCAAATAAGTCTTAATTTAGCAACCTCTAGCAATTAATCATAGACTTACTAAAACTAGTCAAACACATACAAATTAAAAAACCAAATAAATAAGGTTCTTTCTTTCAAAGAACCACATGCAAAAATTACGTTTCATATTTTTAAGCGTGATTAGCAACATTAGGTGCAAGGCGGAAAGAAAATTTTATGGATGGGGTAGCAAATAAGGTGATGAAATACAAAAAAACAAATACAATATTCTAAAAATCTAAGCAAAAGGGGAACTTTTTCAATGGGTATAGTTGAAATTCATTAAAAACATATAGATAAGTCAATATACAAAAATTGAGGAAGATTGGAGGTGATTTGGACTGGTTTTGTATCAAAATTCGTAATTAAATCGAGTTCAAATTTTTTTTATGCGACACATGTATCAAACATGTATCACGGATGTATCTCACACACATGTATACATGGATATACATGTGATACATAATTGATACAAATATGATACATATGTGATACACAAATGATACACATATCATTTTTTTTCATGTTAAGTTTTTACTTCGAATTTCAATTCAAACCACCTCAAAACTTCACCAAATCATCCCAAAATTGAGATTCAAGTTCCTTAAGATGTACCCAATCTATTCTAATAACACCCACTCAAAAGAAAGCAAATATTTGACACTTTGTTGCTACAAATAGCTAATTGGCTAATATTAGTAATATTTTATGAATTGACCAACTTTTGTAATGAACTACTTATAAATGGACATAGCTGGTAGTTTCCCAAGGAACTATGACAAGATTGATGCTTAGTGAAGTCTCGGGGAGTCTGAAACTGTGGTCTTTTTGGACTCGAGAGACACAAATAGGTTAAAAAAAACTGGGCACCATTTTATAGAGTCCGGAACCAAAATGCGGTTCTTTTGGACTCAAAGAACCAAAATGTGTGAAAAAAATACATAGAGACCAAAATATATATAACGCCCTTTTAAAAGGCGCTATATATGTAACGTCTTTCCTTACCGCACTATACATATTATGTGGGCCCACCAATAATTTTTCTGGGTTTAACTGACATAACAATAATTCAATTGGGTATAACGCCCTTATTTAAAGCGCTATAACTTAAAAAATTGTACCCCCAGATTGGTTTTTGCCTTATTTAAAGAGGTTAAGGATTTTCTAAAAATCCATTCACAAATATTCTTAAGTCTTCTGAAATATTTCTTCGTTAAGTTATTTTGCATTTTGTCATAATGTCTGAAGAGCGAAGAATAAGGGTTTCATTATATTGGGGGGAGGGGGTGTGTGGATAATGTCCATCATGGGATGTTAACGCATTACAATTTGTAAGTGAAGTGATATAGCTATATGTAAAGTATTTATCAATTTGAGTACCTTATTATTTTGTTGGTTGTGCAGTGAAAACGAGCATCCTGAAGGTCCTTTCCTTACTCAATTGCCCAAAGACGACATATTTAATTGGGATCTGGCAGATGCACAAAGTCAGCAAGAGAATAGTGATTACGACAACAATGCCGACGAGTCTGGAGATGATACACCCTTACCTGATGAGGGTGATAATGAGGAGGAAGAGAATGCTGGACCTGATTTGACGAGGGAGCATGCTCCACCCCCCGTTAGACCAAGAGTATACGAGTCCCACGTGCCGTTTCATTCAAGGGAGATTCCCTACCTTGATCATTTGCCAAGTATGCCGAATGTGGATGCACTCACAAGGGATATTGACAAAATTCGGACAGTAATGTGGAATGAATCTAGAGCAACGGTGTTGTCAAAGGGCATGCTTTTTCCCGATAAAGCGCGCCTAACCAGGGCGGTGCTAATGTACATCGTAAAAGAGTGTCATGAGATCATGGTACGCGAGTCATCTCTAGATGTATACAAGGTAGTCTGTCGTAGATGGTTTACGGTTTGTAATTGGATGCTGCGGGCGAGGAAGAAGAAAACAAATATGTGGGTTATGGGTAAATACATTGGCACCCACAATTGTGAAATGGACACATTCAGTGGGAATCATTTTAACTTGAATGCTGACTTTGCATCTCTACCCAGGTACATGGTTGCATTGCAACACTTTATCCCCGGGATTGTTGTTGAATGGAAGCTTAAGCGGAGTCCGGGAATACCAGAACATATATTCAAATATGTGTTCTGGGCATTTAAACCAGCAATTAATAGTTTTCTGTATTGGTGGCCGATAATATCCATAGACGACACTCATGTCTATGGAAAGTATGATATTAAGTTGTTGATCGTCGTTGCAGTAGATGCTAATGGAAGTATATTTCCCTTAGCTTTTTCTATTTGTGCCAATGAAAGCCAAGAGACGTGGACACTATTTTTGAACCACTTGAAAGAGCACGTTATCAAACAATGTTAAGGTATTTGTCTAATATCTGATCGGCATGGTGGCATTTTAAGTTCTGTACAGAATTTGCGTGCATGGCAGGAACCGTATGCCTACCACCGTTACTGTGTAAGGCATATGAAGGTCAATTTTCGGAAGGCATATCCCAATAAGTATTTGCATGATTTAATATGGATGACTGCAACAGATCATCAAGAGTGTAAATTCAGGAGGAGCATGGAATCTATCAGGCAGGAAGACGAGGGAGCCTATCGTTGGTTGATGCGACATGAGCTTGACAAGTAGACTTTGCATGCGGATGGTGGCAGAAGATGGGGAATTCTGACTACAAATGTGTCAGAGTAGTTCAATGGGTTATTGAAGTCTACACGTGGATTGCATGTCACTGCCATGGTGTGGATGTCAATCAAGCAGATGGCGGGGAGGTTTGTTGAAAGGGCTCAAGATGCATCGTCATTGATGGAAAGGGTTGTTGAATTTATGCCAATACCAATGAAAAGATTTGAGAAATACAGGCGGCGAGCACATTGACATTCATATTTACAGTATTGCAACGATCGAAATATTTTTGAAGTTTGCACCGCTATCCATCCAAACCAGTGGAATAATACACACACCGTAAATGAAGACAGAAGGTTATGCTCTTGTGGGAAATGGTCCATCTACCACATGCCGTGCTCACATACCATCAAGTGCTTTCAACATACAGGTTTAGGGGCAAACAACTACGTTGATAAAGAATATAGTGTTGCTACATACTTAAACACCTATAGTGGGCAGTTGCAACCAATGGGTGCTGAGCATTATTGGCCACCGGAACCATTTAAAATGGTGTGTAACAAGGACTATGTACGTCATCGACAAGTGGAAAAAAGAACGCGTATACGGAACCAAATGGATGTTGGTGATACCATTTTTGCTCGCAAATGTGGCATATGCTCGCAAACAGGACACGGCCGTAGTAAATGTCCTTCAGCTGGTTTGGGTGGCGGTGGTAATCCATCTCCTGTTGGAAGTTTATTTAATGTGCCCAACTATCAAGGATACACGTAATGTTTTGTTTCCGTAATATGGTTGTAATAAGTGTATGTACTTGTTTAACTTGCAGAATGTATGAAATTAAATTATGTTTTCATTGATGTTAAATCTTATTGATATTTAACATTAATACTTCAGTACAACAATCTAACATAAACCCATTTAAAAATTCAAATTTTCTTGTCGACCTGGAAAGCTACTCGCCTGCAAAAACTATCTTTTGAAAAATCTGTATTGTACCCGAAATAATCTTTAACACACGAAGCATAGCGCGGTGAAATACTACGTTATGTGTGTTGTCTTGTCGACCTAAAAAGCTGCTCGCCTGCAAAAGCTATCTTCTAGAAAAGCTGTTTTGTACCTGAAAGAATATTTAGCACGCGAAGCATAGCGCGGTGAAATACTACGTTATGTGTGTTGTCTTGCCTATAAATAACTAGTGCATTTTAGTTATTATCTAGGCTTAACCAAAATAAATAGCAAAACTTTCTATAAATTTTTCATTTTCCTTACATTAACAAATGTCTGGACGCAATGACCAACCAAGGTGCTATTGTGGCAAACGTGCGATTTTGAAGGCATGTTGGTCAGATAGTAATGTTGGGCATAGATACTGGATATGTCACCAATTGTTTGGACGCAATGGCGGAAATCAATATATGTTTGAGGAATGGTATGATGAACCCATTAACCAGGAATACTACAAATCATGTTTGCAGTATGTTTGGAATATGAACAGTGAATACCAACGTCAGATCTCTGAAATGCAACGAGAAATTAAGGTAGTGCAAGAGAAACTAAAAGAGGCGGAAGAAGAAAAAAATAGGCTGGAAGAGAAATTTAAGTGGTTGAAGCAGATAA